CACAGCTTTTGGAGGCTGCAATTGCTGCCACCATATGTTGTGCTGGAGACGATGCAGCCAGCTGAGCTTCATGCGGAATAACTGTTGGCAGCCACGCCAACTTTAAATTGATATTAATGTCAAGCTTGCTTTTTATAGTTTTCCTGAAGGTTTTAACAACAATAGACGAAGGCAAGTTTCATGGTACCTGAACCTGAATCAGGCTTACATTTTTCTGATGTGTATTTAATTCGGTTTTGGCACAGAGTCTGTGTTTTTCTTGGGTTTTACATCATTTATGAGGTTGCATGGATACACTCTAACAAAACATCATCCATAATCAAATGAGACTCACAGAAGAAAGAAGTGCATGCCAATTCCGACTAATCTTAGCCTTTATGGGAATAACTATTTGCTATAAATGATTAGCCAAACATCTGTGTCAACACTTTCTTAGCAGCAGATAGAGATGTTGTTAACCGCCACATTTACAATGATATTTCTAGCTCCATGGAGGGGTAAATGCTCTACCACAAACAAATCTGTCCATTAAGCCCTTCTAGGTAAAATCTACTCTACTAATTAACTGTAATAATGAAAGGCATGGATGTTAGCGTGGGGTGTGTGTGTGTGTGTGTGTGTGTGTGTGCGCCTCTAAAAGTTTTGCCTTATTTCACACTAAACATTTTAATAAAATGACTCCAGTCACTCTCGTATCACCCTATGGGGTCATTTTAGGAAGAAAATGAATTTTTCCCCAGTATACAGCGGCACATGGTCCTTTCCCTCCTTTAATCCAGGCATCACCCATCATTTGCTGTGTTGAAAAGAGGCATATATATTCTTCAAGCATAGTTTATGTGATTATGTATGGCAAAAGTTTAATAATTGAATCCATAGTAAAATATTTGTACAAGAGTCAACATCTGCACCTAATCGTTCTATACATACGTGATGGTTTTGAGCTTATTGTGGGAGACATATTTCTTTTGGTGATTACAAACACACAGCTGCCAGAGAAATCTGCTGTTTTAAAGCACACTTTTGCTGCTGTGAGGGCATGGGGTGTGGACTGTGTGGGCTATGCCCTGGCAGGAATGTCTTCTCTTCTGCGTGGAGTCTGGTGATCTGTTCATTTGGTTTTTATCTTCTGTCTGCGGAGTGGATATTGAATGAAAATGAAATGAGATCTGCGCACATTGGTGGCTAGACAATTCATTTTCTCAAATTTAGAGACAGTCATAAGATGTAATTCATGAAAAACCCGGACATTGTTTATAACCTGGGGCAAGGCCGACACTTCTTTTCTGTGTTTTCCTGCACTGGCGAACTCAGTGCAAATGGGGCATTTCAATGACATCTGAATCAACTGAAAGCACCCATTGATGTTGGGATAAGTGACCGTCTCTGGCCGTCTCTGTTTTATCAGCTGCGTCCTCTGTGGGCATGTGAGGCTTTCCAAAGCCCTCAGAGGAGGCCAACATGAGACCTTTGAGTCATCAGATCAACTAGAGACAAATACCTTGAGTTTAATAAAATGAAGTTTGAAATAAAATGAGTTTTTCTTCTAAAGTATCTGTCCCTGTTGAATTTGGCTTCCTTTTTTAGACCCCAAACTTTGGTATGAGAGAGCAAGGGACAGAAACAGAGGAGTGGAGATATTTCAGTCTTAGATTCCAGTGGTTCTTTGAATTAGTAATGGCAGTCAAATAGAATCCAGTTTCAGATTTGGTCTCATTCTGGATAAGCAGTTTTATCTTTTTGTTTCCTTAAGCCTGCCTTTTTACTTTGTAAAAGTTCACCTATGAGGCAAGTTATCAGGCAGTTAAACTAGAGTAAACAACTCAAGTACATGTAGGTAAGAATCTGTGCAGAAACTCCTTTTGAACTTCTGGGTTGCTCAGGAGAAAGCAGAGGTTCGTGGTAACTCCCACTACCTCCACATCACACCAACTTCAGCCTGGCACTCTGGATTTACCCCACGTGTGTCCAGTGAAAAGCCTTCGATTGTCCTGGTTTTTAAATTTGTAAATTTAACTAGGAAAACAATGTATTACCTTTACTGAGAGGACTATGTAAACCAAAACGTATCTGAGTCAGATCTGAATCAATTTAGAGGTTTATTTTGCCAAGGTTGAGGATGTGTCCAGGAGAAAGAGACACAGGTCACAATAGGATTTGTGGTCAGGGCTTTTTCCAAAGAAGGTTTTGAGGACTTCCATATTTAAAGGGCAAAGAGTGAGCAGCAAGGGAAGGAGGAAAAGAAGGGAAGGTAGACGATGAGTTGAGTGTTACATTCTAGTGAGGCTTTGATTAGCACTGGCTGAATCCACGTTTTACATGTGAAAAGAGGGGGTAGAGAAACAGTTAATTATGCATTTGTAAATATGCACTTGTAAATCTGCATTCAGTAAGTCTGCATTTTATACAGGATAAGATAAACACAGAGTAGAGGAAGAAGTCAAATGTGCATTTGTTTCAGAGTGGGCAGAGGGAGGGGGCATTCTAGTCTTGTTTTTGTCCCATGCCTGTGAAGATAAGCTACTACTTTACACTGTCAGGTGAGATTCCATAGAACTCTGCTTTAGGGTTATGGGTTATGAGGGGGATATGTATTCTGAAATATTTGGGGACCCATACAAAATTTCCATGTGAGCAATTTGTGAGGGAGGCCACCTGGGGAGATATGTGGCCTTCTGTCATTGCAGCCATCTGTGTGGGAACAAAAAGGAAGGCAAGTTTTCTTCTTTTCTTTTCTTTTTCTTTTTTGCATGACTTAGTTACCAAGTTTACTTTCTTCTTGGCATAATGAGTTTGGGGTGCAAATATTTTATTTTCCTTTCACACCTAAAATGGACAGAAGAGATTATTGGTTTTTATTTCATTTCAAAGTTGGCACATCTGGTGGCCAGGAGATATGGGGCTCTACAGTTGGGTGGGCCCTGACCTTCTGCCTGGGCCATCCACAGTATCACAGGTGTTCATTAGCCCTGCATTTCTAGCTTGAAATTCAAGTTCTAGCAGAAGGTCAACTCAGTAAGTCTTCATGGAAGCAGATTTATGTACCCGCACCAAATTTGCAAGGGGACAAAAATGTAGTGACAAAAGATGCTCAGATGCTCAAAGAAGTTTTATTGAAATGGAAGTAGTCCATGTTTTTTCTCCATGTATTTCTCCTACATCTCCCAAATCTGTTGGACTTCTTCCCTCCTGTGCTTGTGACTTTACTGGAGGATGGTTGGGACAGTTTCACGGGGGCAGCAGCCTCCACAGACTGTGTGTTAGGAAGACGAGGTGGACTGTTGAGCTCTGCTATGGCTCAAAGCACCTGGTGGCCCTAAGCACCCACTACCCCTTACCCCTTTCTCAGGTCCAGCGCATCTCAGAAGGCTGGCACATCAGACACTTGCATTCAGAGTACATTTAGAGTACACACTAAGTGCGTTATTAAATTAAGCTGACTAAATGCTACTGCTCTACTCCCACATCCCTTACTTTTGAAAATACTATTTATTGCAACAGACAGGTGGCCATTTGAAAACACATATTCTTTCTTGTCCCAGGTGGATTAATCACAACTTGTAGACAGAATCCAAGATTGCTTGCTTTTGAAAGATTTCCTCTGGCCCTGTAATTTTTACACTCAAAAGGCAATTTCATTAAGGCTGTACTAGTCCATTTTCAAACTGTTGTGAAGAAATACCCAAGACTGCATAATTTATAAAGAAAAAGAGGTTTAATGGACTCACATTTCCACATGCCTGGGGAGGCATCACAATCATGGTGGAAGGCGAAGGAGAAGCAAAGACATATCTTACATGGCAACAGGCAAGACAGTGCTTTCAGGGAACTTGCCTTCATAAAACCATCAGATCTCGTGAGGTTTATTCATTATCATGAGAACAGCATGGGAAAAATCTACCCAGGAGATTCAGTTACCTCCCACCAAGTCCTTCCCAGTGGGGATTACAGGAGCTACAATTCATGATGAGATTTGGGTGGGGACACAGCCAAAGCATATCAAAGACTTACTTTGTTATTCCGGAAACTCAAAGTAAAAGCTGATTCACTTGAGTGTGAAATGAGAATGAACTTGCCTTTTAAGACTTTTTGTAAATTAATTGAAACACTAGGGCTTTAGCAGAAGTCTGGGGTGGGACAATGATGAAAATGAATATAGTGCTCATTCAGCAATTGAAATAATTTAAAATCAGTCCCAATAAGTTCATTTACTTTCCTGATTGAGTACTGTCATTGTTTAGCAGACCCTGAAGAAAAAATTCACGTTAGTGATACTCCTGCTTTGGTGACCTTAAAATGTGTAATTGACCTAAAAGTTCTTGATGATGAGTCTCTTTTGGGGGCAGTCTTTTTGGGCTTTGGTTTTTACTTGGAGATTCATCTGGTGACATTCTTAACCATTTGAGTGCTTTAGAAGGGTACATAGATCAATTTGACCCACTGAAACAAGTTGCTTTTGAGTCAAATTTGTACTGCATCTGCCCATGTTCTCTTTCCCTTCCTTCTTTCCTTCCTTCCTTCCTTCCTTCCTTCCTTCCTTCCTTCCTTCCTTCCTTCATTCCTTCCTTCCTTCTTCTTTGAGATGGAGTCTTGCTCTCTCACCCAGGATGGAGTGCAGTGGTGCAATCTCGGCTCACTGAGTGCAGTGGCACAATCTTGGCTCACTACAACCTCCACCTCTCAGGTTCAAGCAATTCTCCTTCCTTGGTCTCCCAAGTAGCTGGGATTACAGGCACCCACCACCACACCTGGCTAAATTTTGTATTTTAGTAGAGATGGAGTTTCGCCATGTTGCTCAGGCTGGTCTCGAACTCCTGACCTTAGGTGATCCCTGTGCCTCGGCCTCCCAAAGTGCTTGGATTACTGCACCTGGCCCTGCCCATGTTTTCTCAAACCTGGCTCACCTGGATGTATGGCTGTCTTTCTCCTTTCCCTGCACATCCTGTGCCAGTTCCTCTACAGGTACCTCAATGACTCTTATTACGAAGTCTGAAAATTAGTGAAAGACACAGAGATCGACCAGAAGGCCTACGTGGCCCAGGTGGAAGGCGTCGTCAGCAGTACCTATGACTAGATCCAGCTGTGGGATGACAGTGGACCACTTGTGTACCCAGCTGGTTTTGTGTCCAACTTTATGGGGCTGTTCTATGCCCCTGGGCCGAGGCACTGACATTCATATGCCCAAAACATCTTTGCTGTGCTCTACCTGGCCACCTTGCTGCTTGTCTTCTTGATCTACCACCAGACCTACAAGGTACCTCCCTTTGTCTTGTTTTTCATGTGCCACGCCTCTTACTGTGTTCACTCCACCGTTGCGGAAGTCAGAGACCCCGAACGAACCTTTGTGCTGTGACTCTTCTATGACTCAGTGCCCTCAGTATCAGCCTCCTGCTGGCCCAGGGCTGGGGCTGGGGCTGCTGGTGTTCCAGCCTGGCAGCCTCCATGAAGAGGAATGTGAGGCTCTGCGCCCATTGGTTACTGTTTCTTCTCCTCACACGGTTTGGCTGCCGTGGGGCCCTCCGCAAGCTGGGCATCTGTGTTGGCCTTCAGGTGGTGCTGGGGCTGCTCTTCCTGCTGGAGAAGCCCACTGGCTACCTGTCTCACTCCTTCAACCGTGGCCGCCAATTTCTATTCTGCTGGACAGTGAACTGGCGCTTCCTCCCAGGGGCTCTCTGCCTGCACTGTGCCTTCCACTTGGCCCTGCTAACCACCCACCTCACCTTGCTCTTGCTGTTTACCCTCTACTGGTGGCACAGGATGGGGGGAATGTATCTTGTCCCTGCTGAAGGATCCCTCCAAAAGGAAGGCTCCACTCCAGATCCTCACACCCAGCCAGATCGTTTCTACCCTCTTCACCTCTAACTTCACTGGCATCTGCTTCAGCCACCCCCTCCACTACCAGTTCTACATCTGGTATTTCCACACACTGCCCCACCTCCTGGGGGCCAGGACTGCACACTGGCTCACACACCTGCTCAGGTTGCTGGGGCTGGGGCTCACGGAGGTCTCCTGGAACACATACCCCTCCACATCCTGCAGCTCTGCTGCCCAGCATGTGTGCCACGCTGTCCTCTTGCTGCGGCTCTGGCTGGGCCCACAGCTGTTCCCCAAGAGCATCCAACACAGCAAGAAAGTTCCCTGAAATCCACCCCTTTCCCTCCAGTGCACACTCAGGACCTGGGGATAGACTCTGTGCCCTTCCAAATAAACCTTGCCAAGTCCTATATATATATATATATATATACATACACACACACACGGACTTCCTCTCTATATATAGAGGGACTCACACAGGATGTGCAGGGAAAGGCGACAGGCAGCCACACATCCAGTCAGAATCACTGGGACTTTTATGTATCTCGATCAGCAATGCTATGGCTACAACATTGACACAAAGACACAGAAGGAAATTGAGTTCACAGGAGTACACAGGGATCTTGTATTATTTGCTGGATTCATCCATTTGTATAAAATATGCTAATTTTACAGGAGTTGGTTTCCAGCTTTTGGACCAAATTTTGAACATTCTAAACTGGTTAATTTGAGCCTTTCGAAATTATAAATTTTTCTATATATTTTTAAAATATCTTCTTTTGATTGAGTCACTTATATGTTTGTATTCTTAGAATGAGTGATAGCTAAGTAATTGAATTTACATGCTCTATCATTCTAGTTTAAATATTCAGTTTAGTTTTGATATAAAGAAATACATGAAATACGAGTGTTTGAAGTTTATTGTCTAAAAAATGTAGATGCATCCTTTCCTTGGGATATTGTCTTTAATTTTTAAGCTCAAAAAGACCTCGAAAAACATGCTTTCAATAATGCCTTATTGATTTTTTAACTATCTAAAACTACATAGAAAAAGTTTGGTTAAAATAAACCAAAGAGTTGTTGAAATGTCTTTGCTTCAGTTGTTGTTCACTTGTAAATCTATCCAAAAGAGATAGAATGGGAGGAGGGAAGGATAAAAGGAAGAGAAGAGAGTGAAATTAGACCATCAACTAATTACGCAATTAATGATTTAACTACAATTGGAATAATGTGCTGGAAATTAATGAGGTGAATGGAAGAAATATGTACAAGAATATGCCTCCTCATTAAGTCTCAAGGAACCATGTGGGGGAAGATGTGAGCTTGACCACACTCAGCACCAGGGAAAATCTGCTCAAAGTGAAGACTCAACATCTCCCTAATCCTTTTTTTGAAAATAACCAAATATTTTAAAACTTACGGATTTTATCAACTTTTTTTATTAGCCACTTTTCCGCAAATGGAACATGACTCACTTCCTTTGGACAACAGCGGTCTGTCCCCTTTTCTGCTGGTCTTTGCTTCTCCCAAGGGCATTGCCTTCTTCTTAATTTGTTTGGTGCCCGTATCTTCTCCATTGCCTTTTTCTTTTTTCCTGAGCACAGGGTTACTTGCCACCTGCACGCGTGGCCCCCCTCCGTAATCACGGGTATATTTCTTTCTCTTTAATGCAGCCATCCCCTTTCTGTTCTCGTGTCCACAGACACTCCCAGACCTTCCCATTCCACTCAAATCTGTCTCACACCCTCCAGCTACAACTCCCCCATCACAGCTGGAGGGACCAGCTCATACTTGGGGAGATTAGGTCACTGTGGCTTGTCTATACAGCTGCATTGCTGGCAGGGCCCAGGAACCACTAATCCCATCCCTTATGGTGGAACCAATAGTTTAGTCTCAACTCCACTTTCCAGGCATGTTCATACTCCTAGAAACATGACACATTCATAATAAAGTCAAAACACAAGTCACCTAACCCTGACTGTAACTCAGCACCCACTTCCACATGTCTTTCTGCAGGTCCTGTAATCCTGGTGGAGACCCTGGCCTCATGGAGCTCCTCCCAGTGAGTGGTGGGAGTGGCTGCTGTTCTGACCACCATGGCAGTGATGATGAGGTCTGCAAACATGGGTGGCTTTGTGTGGTGAGGCTGTTCCTGGATGATGAGCGTAGTTGCTGTCACTTTGGGGTAGAAAAGGCCAGCCGCCTCATGCTGTCCACTTGTTGTTATGGCAATAGATGAACCTAATTTGGAATTTGATGGATGAAACAGGACCCACAGATGGATTCCAAACCAGAAGAATGTCAAAGGCTGCCAGAAGGGAGTTGGGAATTAGGTAATAGGGAGGGAAGGAGGCTGGTCCATGACTGGGTTCTCTGTCCATCTGTGGTCACCAACAGTCATGGGTTGGCTGAGCGTTACACAAAGCAAGGCCAAAGCTGTCAAAATAATGAGCCTCCTTGAACACAGACCACGCAATCGTGAGATGTTAGAGCAGCAAAGGACTTTCAAGCTAGCCCAAGAGTTACAGTAGGTAGTTGGGTGGACATGAACAGGGCAGGAGAGGCCCCTCCCTTCCCCCCAGAAATGTCAGGCCACCATCAGGTGATAGTCAGGCAGCTGTTACACTGTCTCCCTAAAATAATAATTGGTCACAGCCGGCACCAGGGAAAGGCAGTCTCCCAATAGATAAAAAACACCTGAAGCTGGTGATTGGCAGCTTCCCGATAAGATCTCAGGAGTTGAGTGAGTGGGCTCAAGCATGCTCATTAAGAGGCAAAGTGGTGGCATTTCACTGGTCTATGACCTTCTAGGAACATTCGGCTGGAAGGGAAGAATGCCTCAAAGTGAGCATGTGCACAACTCCAGTGAGCACACTGCACATGTGGCCCTCCCGTGTGCTGGCAGGCCGCTGTGTGTGTGGACAGCCTCCCCCAAGGAAAGAATCATGGAGAAGGGACACAAGACCCCGGAAGCATGCCAACATATAAAACCCCAAGTCAAATGTCAAACAGTGCCCTCTTGACTCTCTTCCATGTGTACTTTACTTCCTTTATTCCTGCTCTAAAGCTTTTTAATCCATTTCCACTCCTGCTCTAAAACTTGCCTCGGTCTCTGTCTCTCCTTCTGCCTTCTGCCTCCTCCGTCCAGTTCTTTTTTCTGAGGAGGCAAGAACTGAGGTTGCTGCAGACGCACGAGGATTTACCACTGCTGACACACATCCAAGAGGCTGAGCCAGTTGCCCAAGGTCAGAAAGTGAGGACCGATCTCCAAGTGCCTGTCTCTCCCAATGGCTTTTTCAGTATTTACACAATATACATAATGCCACAGTGCAGACAAGTAAAGGTGAGACAAGGAGGTGATGCTGGTTGACATTCTCAATACTTCACTGGTCTTACCCTTGTAACTGTGTCAGGAACATCATATGGTTTTGTAGTTGTTGGAAACTTTACCATAGCCAAGGGGAAGGGTGGGCATCAGTGGATGGAAAATTACTGAAGGGACACATTGGACGCCAGGGGAGAGTCTAACTAATCCGACCGTGCAGGATGCTTGCTGAAGGCAGGCAGGGTGAGCTGACATCTCCTGGGGGATCGTGGGGAATGAGAAACCTGATTAGATATCTAGCATGACCAGATATGGAGAACGGTGGATTTGGGCTAAACTCACTTAAAAAAAATCTTGCTAAAATTGGACCACACAGAGATAAACCCAGAAGTCCCAAAGTCAAGGTCTAGTTAAAAAAGATCTCAAAAGGGCCTGAGTAGAATTTGGTCAAGGAGAGAATCTTTGTCAGTTTGAAACATCTTATTGTGTCAGAAAGTAAGAAAATGCTTAAAATAAAAAACGACAGGAGCATGTCACACAAGGACACGGAGCCACCAGAAGGAGCTCCCACTAGCCAAGTCCAGGACAAGTGGCATTCCAAAAAAATAAGGATAACAGTGGATTATTGCAAATGAGTCAGTGAGTCAATGTCAATAATAAATAGGTCCATAAAACAGACAGGGGAGAAGGGGCAGCTCTTGCTTGCAGTCAAGTGCCAGGTCGGGCTGGTCCATGAAGAGGGTGCACTGAGCTTCAGAAAGTCTCATTCTGCAGCCTTCATGGTAAAGAATGATTCAGATAAGAACCATCATGAACATGCAGTATCCATGAATGCTTCAGCATTCGTGAATGCTTGGTCTATTCAGGGTGCAGGTGGATTCTGACGAAGAACGGGAGAGTGTCATGCCTTAAAGTGCTGTGTGTGTGTGTGTTTGTGTGTGTGTATGTGTGTGGTTTTTGTAATATAATATATATACACATACATACCATACATATATTATAAAAACTATGCACACACACACACACATAATCAAAGATAGAGATAAATGAAAAAGCAGGTGGGCAAACAGGTAACAATAGTTGGCTCTGAATAAAGGCAATACAGTTGTTCTTGTTCTGTTTTTCTAACTTTTTCTTAAATGTTGATTAAAATTATTTCCAAAATAAAATGTTAACAATAATAAAAAGTGTGATGCAAGATATCCCCAAAGGATGAAATATAGGACTAGTAAGTCCCAAGTCCTGGCTGATGATTTAGGTCACTCAGATGCAGCTCTGGGGCCTGGGTGCTCTCAGTTTCTGGGATTTTGCCATTTGTATTAATCAATGGAGCAGCAGGCTGGACCTGAGGCTGCACATTTTTCTGCCTTCCTTGTATTTGGTTACTTTCTCTATTCCAGGGTGTTCATCTCAATTAACCTCTAGGTAGCACAGGGTGAAAAACATCCGCTGTGTGCCAACAATAAGCCTCAGCTCTCATGCCACCTCCAAAAACTGTAAAGAAACAAAAACACCAGGGATTTCATTTGATCTGGAAAAGGGTTCGTTAAGTATTCCAGGATGTTGGAAACAAAAGATATTTTAAATACCATGGGGGCTGTAAAGAGTGATTTAGAAGATGTAATACTGCTCAATATCAGCTGACATCAACTGGAAGGAAACCACAGCTAAGAACTAAAGCTGTAGTTCTTTAGTTGTAAGAAGTTCTTAAAAATCCAATGTCTTAGACCCAAAGACTTCCATCCTCATTTTTAAGTGAATAATAATATGATCAACATATATTTGAAAATCCTTGAGCTCTCTGTGACTCTCTGGCCACTCCTTTTCCATCCATTATTTCACTTTGTCATTGCAGCATCTAGAGTTTACAGGGTCCGTGGAATTACCACACAGCAGGCCTAAGGGATAACATCAGTGGTTCCCAAAGTGGGGTCCCTGGACTGGCAGTATCAGCATTACCCAGGGAAGTTGTTAGACATGCAAATTATTGGACCCCACCTAGACCTGTCCAGTTGGAACTCTAAGTTTGTTTGAACAAGCCAGGCCAAGGGGCAGGGCCTCCTAGCAAGGGTTGGGGGAATGCAG